GGGGGGGGGGGGGGGGGGGGGGGGGGGGGGGGGGGGGGTTTGTGGGCGGTGGCTGGGCTGAGAGACCTGGAATTCAGAGGAATCTCCAGAGACTTGTAGCATGAAGTGCCGTAGCTGGTCTGCGAATCACCGATGGTGCCTTTCTAGCTGTTATGATTGGCCTTCCTGCTGGCGGGAGCCGCCGCACTGCACTCTGGGGTTGGCCGGGGATGCCGTCTGCTCGGGCACTTTCGTTACCAGCCTGTCACAGACGCATTGTACTAGTCTGCCATCGGGCATCCAACAGGTGAAGCACTGGCAATAAAAAAGACTGGCAGTTCAAACTGCAGGGGAGGGGGGGGGTCGGCTGCTTTCATTTTGTGCACTTAGAATTAATTGCTTTGGTTAAACATCCAGCTGAGTAAATAAGTCAAATTATATTTTGGAATAAGAAACTGGAGAGATAGCAAACTGTTAAGTTAGGGTCCTTATAGCGAAGATGACGCTTCAATAACATGCTTCGGGATCTGGAGGCTTTCAGAGCTGCCAAGCCTCTCACTGCATGGGGCATGTAAGTATAAGCTGGTAAATCACCATGCAGAAAATGCAGCAGGTGGCACCTTGGAATGTTGGACTGCATGCTGCCCGCTTGCTTTTCACCTCCTGTTTAACAAATAGGTACCAGACAGCAAGGTCCAATCAAACCAAAGGCCGTGAGGTAAATGGAAAACCGCTTAAAACAAATCATATCTGCAATACCTCTTCTGTGGACCAGTGTATCCTAATCTTCCACTAACTATCCCACTGGCCTTATTTATCCTGAAACCTAAGACAGTGATCAATGCAGCCAGTGCCAGCTGGATTTCAGTGCTGTCTGTGGGCATGGAGGCAGTAGTAAATGCTGATGTCAATGCGAGGCCTCCTCTAGACCCAGTGTCCTGCTGTCCTTTTATCTCCTGGCAGCTCGCAGTGTGTAATGCATGAGGTAATATCGCTAAAGGTTTGGTCAGCGTGAACTGAAATCCTGTCTTATAATAAACCTCATCACATCGGACCTCCATACAATATGCAATTCATTCCACAGTGTTAAACTATCCAAATTTTCCACTCGACCAGTTCTTTAAATATAAATTTGATTTATTATTTTCACTCACTGATTTCAGAAATTCAGCTGTTTGGATGAGCCTAACCTGAATCTCATACTGTAATGGGATTCTAGCACATTCGTATTAAAAAATCAATCATTAAACCTGATGCTTCATACAGTGATCCTGATCTTCACTAATAATGTATGTTAATAGCTGATCATTCAGTAAATTGGGGAGGTAACATAGACTGAGTTAGGCTTTCTACATGTGTCTAGTTCGTCTTCTTCTTCTACTAATTATTATTATTATTAGTGAACAGAAATCTATGACATTGAATGGGAAGAAGGAGTAGGAATTTTGCCCAGGATAGGATACTGGTTTAATAGAATTGGCTCAGAGGACCAAAAGCAAATATGGTCATTTTAGTGTCATCATAAGGGACAGCTTGGCTTTGCAAACAGAAGTGGACAGAAAAAGGACCAAATACTGGTTTCATCTTAAGCTGATGACTTTACGTATTTAGAAATGTGGAACAGTAACGCCACAGTAATGTGACACATCACTGCACGGGTATCTGTGTAACTGTGAATCATCACTGCCCGGGTATCTGTGTAACTGTGAATCATCACTGCCCGGGTATCTGTGTAACTGTGAATCATCACTGCCCGGGTATCTGTGTAACTGTGAATCATCACTGCACGGGTATCTGCTTAACTGTGAATCATTGCTCCACCCCGCTCTGTCTTATGCGGACAATCCCTGAGGGAGAGCTGGCTGTCTGGCCGTTTTAGCTCTCGGACCAATGCAGAGCAACTCAGCTAAGAAGTCTGTCCAGTCTGAAGTTTTTGCAAGACATTTTTCATTTTGCACTTAGATGAGAGCAGCACATTCGCGAAGCTTCAGAACTGGTAGCCATGTCTTAAGTGACGTTAATTCGTGCATCCGCTTGTTTTGCAGCTGCTTATTTAGTGCAGGGTCAAGGTGATTTACTGCAATAAATTACCATATGCTGTGATGGGTTGGTGCTCATTCCTGGGTTGTTCCCTGCCTTGCACCCATAGCCTCTGGGATAGGCTCTGGACCCCCACGCGACCCTGAATAGGGCAAGCGGTGTCAGAAGATGGAGAGACGGATGGATGGATGAAAATTATATTATTTCTGCATTGTTAGTGAACTCACTGAAAGAAGCTAATTACAGGAAACAACAAAAGGAAAAAAGGCAACAGATCAAAACAGGAAGGGCCCGTAACTCAAGGAAACTTTGCAGCACGTGCCGTCTGAGCCAGCTGCAAAGGTCTGAGATCCCAGTCAAAATGCCCATGATGTATTTACCATTTACCGCTGAGCCGCTATTGTAATGTAGCAGGGAAAAGGTGAAACTAAAACAAACATGAATGCATGGCATGCCTCAGGGAGTTTACGTCTATGTTTGCATTTTTACAGTCAGGTACTGTTACTATTATTTCTGTGTAACTTGCGATTGTCTGTGTGTATTTTCTTTTCCATGTTTCATGTCTCTTCATACATTAATCACGTGTTGATACCAAAGTCTTGTGATAAATCCAATGGGCGATTTATCTTCACAGCCTGCAGTGACATTATGAACTGGTCGACTAACACTAACTTTTAGGGATATTGGGAAACAGGAATGATACTTTTTGCTAATGGTTTTGATGATGTTAAATAAAACCCTATTTATGATGCTCCTAATACTGAATATATAATAAAATGTGGTATCCCCCAGTACCCTCTATTGTACATCATAGGTTATAGGTCAGTGTGAGGCTGTTCATGATTCAGCAGATCTGTTTGGTTTAACACTGAGTGAAAATTGTGGCTGGGATTTTTTTTTATCAATGTATATCTCACACTGGCAGATGCGAACTGGAAGCCAGAATCGGATCCTGCATTTGATCCCCTTGGTGTTTTTTCTTCCTGTTGTCAGGTTTGGCTGTTCATCAGATTATTACGATCACTGTGTCTCTAATCATGGTCATCGCAGCCTTGATAACAACACTCGTCCTTAAGAACTGGTAGGAAAGATTCCTTTCATTCATGTTTCTTATTTTAAACATAGTCATATTAATTAATTTCCAGTGAAGTTATTTTAAGTTATAATCAAAAACAGAACAAATAAAACTAATAATCATTTCCTCATTTTCAGCCCCAAACTTTCTTCATTAGATGAGTATTTTTGCATTCCAATGTGAAAGTCTTTGAAATGAAACTTTAATTTCAGAGGCCACACTTCCAGCCTGGTTTTTTTGAATTGGCTTCTGACTCACGCGGTTTGGACATTCAAAACTGGAGGCGCAAGGTATGATTTTATTGTTGTTTTTTGTTTTTGGTACGTGTTTTTGTAGCTGTGCACAGAGGGGAAATGGACGCCACAATAGCCATCAGAGGAAGATCAACCAGCAGGAAGAAAGTTGCCAGAACCTGACCGACTTCACCCCGGCGCGGGTCCCCAGCAGCGTGGACATCTTCACCGCCTATAATGACAGTTTACAGTGCTCGCACGAGTGTGTGCGGACTCCCGTGCCCATCTACACCGATGAGATGATCCAGCACACCCCGGTGTATAAAATGGCATACAATGGAAACAGGTAAAGCCCAACCTGCTCCGGCCCAGACGGCAGCTGTTAGCTAAAACGTGACCTCGTTGAAGGAGGGTCCCATACTCTACATCAGGGTTTCTCAAAGTCCGGATGCCGATCAAACCACACGTTAATCCGGACCCAGCTGATAATGGGCCTTAACGTCACCAAACGACACGCACACATAGCTTGTCATATCCTCCCCAACGTCAGAGAGTTGAAATGATCAGCATGCGTCAAAAAGGTCCTGTTGTTGTTACATATTGATGTCTGTTATTGAAAGTTATTGTTCATTCATTAGAGTTCTGCTTTTGAAAGTTGTTCTGGACCTCAGCCTTTGAACAGCAATCTGATGCAGACCTTTGATCAAAACGTTTGAGCACAACTGCTCTAGATCCTTACTTTGACTTTTTCTAGTGAAATATCTGACTGTATAAATGGATTTAAAAGGACTCGGTAACTTTGAATAGTATGAATGCCATCCAGGGCATTCCCTGTCCTATATTTCCTCTTGATGAAATGACACTAAGCAGATTGGCGCTCAGCTAAACTGGACTGTTCTGTGGGAGCAACCGTTCATTCATCCTGATGTAATGCTCAGTGTTATTTAATAATCATGTCATTTGATTAGCCAGTGATAATGATCTAAGCCAAAGTAGCATTGTTTTGTAGCGTAGAGGCCATTGAAAATAACTGGGACATGATTCAGTGTTCTGTTCAGTGCGAGCCTCTTTTATACTTGTGGTGATGGGAAATTATGGACGCACTTTTTTTTTATGGAAGAGAAGAAATGTTATTCAAATGAGCTCAGCAAAGCTGAATGTATTTTTATTGCCAATTTAAATTTTTAGGTTTTCCGGAAGATAATGGAAGATAAAATAGTCTTCTTTAAAGATACCTAATATATATGGCTTATGCAAAGATGCAAAGGATAATCCTTTAACAGGAGTTGTCTGTTAATTCAGGACAAACTTTTCTTGTTATCACTGCACCCAAAAGGCAGCGAGGGATCCTTGGTTTATCTTTTAAGAGGATAGCGGCCTGAATGATGCTGGAATCAGTTCTTGTGGCTATTGAAGTGAATCCATTACAAGTTTACAGCATTCACTGTATGCCCTGTGGGAATTGCATCAATGCTAAAATAAAAATACATGCTTGTGTGAATAGCAATCTACCAAAGCATTCGGCCTATTGTCCTCTCGTCTGCCAAGAGCTGCTCCATCGCAGCGTTTGTTGCTTTTATTGTTTAATGTGGGGGAATCCCTCCCCCCAGCTCTTGCTAGGAGCTGACTTGAGAATGGTAAGGTCTTGTTCAACAGACTGTTGTGTCAAATGGGGGTGCCAGCTTTGCCTGCCCCCCCGCCGCTTTCCTGAACTAACGCATAACTGTATTGCCGGATCCCTCTGCTGTGTATATTCTATGCTGTGTAAAGTCACAGAACTCAAAATCTTAAAGGAACAACAAAATAACTATAATGACTGTTATAATTCTAAAATACATTTGAAGATAAAGACTTAAAATTCATTTACTTAGTTAAATGTTCAGTATTATAATTACAGCGAAAGCAATGACAACAATAACGATAATACTGACGGGTGTTATTGTTATTATTAGCTGATGTTGTATGATCTTTAAAAAATTGGCTATTATCAAATAAAAAATGTTTTTTGTCTTTTGGCTTTAGGATCTTTGTTTAAACAATGCATGTTCCACATATTTGGAATTGTGTTTTAAAATTGTGCTTCTCTGGTAAAGGTTATTGTGGCGTGCATCTGCCCGTCTCATCGCCTTGCTATTCTCCTTCCTCCAGACCACCGCCCACGGAACGGCAGCTAATTCCTGTGGCCTTTGTGTCCGAGAAATGGTTCGAAATCTCCTGCTGACTGGCCGAAGTACACTTGTTTGTCGTGGGCAGGACAAGACTTCCTGATATTGTTTCTTGGTATGTGCCACTGCCATTACGATCTCTTCTCTTGTGTCTCTGCCTGCACATCACGAGCCTCATTTTGGGTATCTGCTGGAAATGCATCCTCTTACTAGTGACTCTGACACTTAAATGCCATAAAATTTTATGTGAGATATAATACTGAAAAACATGAATGTCATCCAATTTTGGTCAAAAGTATCTCTAATCTTCATCTAATGAGGTAATTTTCACATCCTTTTTTTACCTATTAAATATTAAAGGCTGTAAAACGGCAGCGCATTTGTATGTCTTGCTATAAAATGTAAACCGGAAGGAATGTGGAAGATTCATGGAAGATTTGAAATCATACGGGTACAGAAGCTGCTGATATTTAATGTTGCCGTCCGCTGGGCCTCCAAACATTCATCAAGATTAGCTGCTGCTGTTGTATATTACACTCTTTCACTTTGAATCCCATATTTTAAAGACACTTTCAGGTCAGTTTCCATAACTGAGTTATCAGTCTGAAAGATAGTATTGCACCAAATGAAATCTGTATTTATGGCAACAGACGTTATAAATCAAACCCCAGGGAATATTGAAGTATATTTTTTTCTACCAATGTACAGCACTGTGCAAAGGTCTTTGGTAGTCAAAGCAAATGATGTCTAAATATTATTCATGTCGGTGTAAAATTGCAATACGCCTGTCAAAATGTGTTAGTTTACCTTTCTCAAAACCTCTCATAAAGTCACCCCAGTACTGGCAGCAACCATCCAATACAACATTCAACCATCCAGTTTTTTTTTACTCTAGCACACAATGTCGGCTAATCGATACCTCACTGAGTTATTTAGCTAATTAAATGAATTAATGAAATGGCTGGGGTGCCCCTGAGGAGAGGTCTGGGAACTGAAATCCATCCAACAAGATACCAGTAATTTTTTGAAAAACAAAAGAATTTCTTGTTTGTTTTTATTGTGCCGGTCTTGGTGTGCATATGTTTGAATGTTTTTTTTTCCCCCTGAACAAATATAGACATACTACCCAGATAAATAGCTTTAAATGTTTTCTTTGACTGTCTAAGGCTTATGCACGGTTCTGTATGTGTTGTTCATCCAGGCACATTAAGGATTTGTTTTCTGCACACCTGCACAAATGATCACGCCAAAACCTCCTAAGCAGTTTACTCTACTAATACTGTGCATGTAATGTAATTGCCGGTACTGTCACCTTCAATTACCGGTCGCTCACATATGTGCAGGGCTATTTGGATTGCTTTTTGTCCATGTAAGAATTACAGAACATGCATATCTGTAACAAGCACCACTATAATGTAACACTATAGGCCAATGATTTTTTTATTTCTTTTTGCTTTGCCATTTAATAAACATTTATTTATTTCTCTTTCAGGATCCCTTTGGTAGACCTCTAAACCAAGTGAAACAAGCAATTACAGTACACACAGCCGACTTTGTTAAAAAGTGGGAACTCTCCGACATGAGAAAATAAATTTATTTTTCTAAATGGGAGATGAGACAGTGTACAAGATTCCACTCATGGTTATTTTACAGAGACCTATATTTAGAGTAAATACATAATTATGTGTGTGTGCTGAAATGTGAATCGACTCTGCAGACGTCTTGAAGACAGGATAATACACAGGAGGCTGGAGAGAGCAGAACTGAATTATTACTGTAAGATGTGCCAATGATGCCACTATGTGCCGCGATCTGTACAGAACTCATCCAGGATGCCATGGATTAATAATGACCTAAGGGGCAAGCCTTTTGTTTCTTTCTCAAAACAACATTATCAGTTCATATGTCCAATAATGTTTTGTTTCTTTTTTAGAAAAAAAAAAAAAAGTCTTAAAAATTATTTTTGAATAAATTTTGACGTAGTTTAAAACATGTGTTGCAAACTCCCAAAAATTCTGTTTGTATACAGCACCATGAAGTGCAAATAAATGAATTAGAATGAACGTTACTCTAAACGGTAAATTCTGTACTCAAATATCTTTTGTTTTTGTCACCTCAGTCCTTTTGAAGTATGTCACATTGACTGTATTTTTATAGACAGCATTTTAACACAAAAATCAGTTCCTTTGTAGGCTAAAGTTTTAAATGGTAGTGAGGTCTCATATACAGCCATGTGAAGAAATGATCCAACTATTAAAAAATCAGCTTTGACATCACCCCTGTTTTACTCCCTTAAATCCTCTTCATTGTGTACGCCGGTCTCATTTGAGATATTTCTTGAACTTTTTATGTCATCCAAGACATGGTTTTCTTATTTTAAGACTAGTGAATGGCATCATCTCTCATGGAAGATTTCTCACTGCTGAAAACTGATGAGTCCAGAGGAAAGAAGCAGTCGAATGTCTTCCGTAAAGATGTTATACTTCAGCTGACCCCCCAAGGAGCTCTGGTTTCTTGTGCTCTATTCAACAACAACAGCGGAAAAAAGGGGCCGCTGAATCGCCCCCCCCCCCTCCCCCCACCAAATTATTTTCCGATTTTCATTCAGAAATCAGGTGTGAATGCCAGTAGAGACCCATATGGAAAGGTCACAGGTGCCACACTGGGTTGCTGGTGTCCAAAGGCAGCATGAGCTCTCAGCCGGAAGCCTGTCTCAGGTGCCAGGGCAGCTGCCAGCCGGGCACACTGATCGCCTCACACCTCCACCGGGCTTCTCAGTCACATGCCACACACGCCCACCGGACTGCACCTTTGCTGTCCCCTTTGGGCCAGTCTTTGTGTTCTTCAGAAATGTTAGATATCTGCATTTCATGGAATCATTAAAGTTGGATATTCTCTCCCTCAAGGAAACATAACACTGCATCCATAGCGACTATTTTTTTCTTTTTTTTTAACCACTTAAAATAATCCAAAAATGTTAAAAAAAAAAAAATAATAATAATAAACTGTGTGGACCGGCAAAGAACATTCTTGAATACAGCCATTCTATCGAAATAGCTGGATTGTAAAATGAGACAGAACTGAGCCAAATGATCTGAGACACCTGACAGCTGTTGTTTTACCTCCCCAACAAAATCACTTGAAAACTGTAAAAATGGCACCTTGTTCCAGAGATCTGGCTTTTATGCCAGCAGTCGGCCATTCAGGATGAGTCAGCAGGTCAAGCCTTTCAGTTCAGGGCAGCTATAATGCTGCCAGAATTGGGGCTTTCCTTACGTAAACATGGCTTCCATTTTTTGAAACCAATTTCCGTGTCTCCCAACACCTTACACCTCCCACGAGAGATAATGCCCCATATCTAGACATCTATGTGAATCTACTTTTGCTGCTCCCCAATTCAATATTTTTACTGACTGGTCATTGACAGATTTGGAGTATATTTAATTGCTGTACTATGTATATGTATATCTGTAAATGTATTTTATATATATTCAATTTGTGTACAGGTGTGTTCTTTTTTAAAAATAATACCTGTCCATTTTAGGGTGGTGGGATTGGGCTTTAGAAACTGTGTCTTTGTTTACAAGTGTGACTACAATGATGCTTCTTTCATAACACTGACTAAACATTGTGCCAAGCTTCCTACTTGCACTTTCAATCAGTACTTGTATGATACCTTTGGCAAACACATATAACTCGTTGTTACACTGAGGTCACCGTGTATAAAAGATTAGAGGAGAAAATGTAACTATATAATGTGGGTGCTTTATGCCTCTGAACTGCAGACCCACAGATCCCCTGTGTGTGCTGGTTTGTGATCAAGCCAATAGCAAGGCTGGATTGCGATCCAGCCAGTTGCGAGGCTGGGTTGTGATCCAACCAATGGCAAGGCTAGATTGTGATTCAGCCAATGGTGAGGCTGGGTTGTCATCCAGCCAATCTAAGGCCGACCCCCATTTCCGAGAAACCATCCACCTTCAGAATTTAGAGCAAACATTGTAGTTAGCACCTTATGGACCTTTGGAAATCAGATCAAGCATATTCTTAAATATCTGGAAAACTTGAGGTGAACAAGGTCCTTGCCTATGCTAACATGTAGAAGCCACAGTCTATCATAACCTCACTTTGGTGAATAAATTTTAAAAATGTAATTAATTTAAAGAATAAAATGAATTTTATAGCTAACAACATTATTAATTAATCAAATAAGCTCAAATAATATATTTACATATATATAAATCTATTGAGAAATACACTTTTATCTATTAAAAAAGACATCTATATAAAATTCCCTGTTTACATATTTAACAGTCACAGTCACAACTCAGTGAACATGTCAGTCTTATCTAATTCAGAAGTTAACTGTAACCAAAACCAGCATATTCCCTGGCAGGCTGAGTAACACAGCAGTAACCGATTTGGGACTTGGGGGGTAGGAGCTGTGCCCCTTATCAGTATACCTGAAATTTATGCTAATATTTGCAGTTATATTTGTTAAATACTTCCCCTCCCCCACCCTGCCTGTTTTATTTGGATGAGAGTAACAATTTTTCTAACCTAAGGCTCAGAAATCAAAATTAGTTACAGGCTGATATTATCGCCACTTAATTTCTAGATTATATTTGTCTACATAAATCTATCATTGACGTGCATTAAGACTTTAATTTTTTATTATTGCCTCTGTAACTGTAAAGCACTGAAGCACACATATGAAGTATACAGATGTTTACATACAATTCTCTCCCACATTTTACCTCAGCCTTTTCAGGAATCTGCGTGCATAACTGTACCAATACAATCTCGCCTTGCTATGATCCATTTTAATGATTGATATGACAAACAATACTGAATAGCGAAGATGTAAAACATATGCAGAGGGTAATATGTTCATTTTCATAAAAGTTTCAAAAAAACTAGATGAAAATGTGATTGAGATGACTGTAAAAAAAAAAAACAAATGTACTGGCACAATCAATGTTTGAAACTGCTTCCATCAAGTGTGATCATGAAACAGGGCAAGGAGATTGCAGTTCTTTTTATGTTGTGTTCGATTATTTATTAGCATCATCAACAAGTTCTCAGACTTTTTCTCAAAGAATAAGGAAACAATATGAATTTCTTGTCAGTTCATTTGCCAAACTCACTGCAAGAAGTTAGCACCTTTTGAAGCTGTGATTGTTGAGATTTGCCTAATCCTGCAAATAGAGCTAGTACATTAGCTAATTATGTGCGTTACTCCTCACATTGCGGTTCCTGCTCACAGACCGGCTGAAGGGAACTTGTGTCTGTTAGAGCCCACTGTACCCATCTCTGATTTGTTGCATCACAAGACTTAGCTTCCATTTAGCACCTATATAAGCTTCTCCAAGAAAGACATCTTGATAACATATTTGGAATTCTATTTTAATTGAAAAAGAGGCAAATGTAAGGATGGATTAAGCAATTTTATAATTTTGCCAGCCAAGCAAACCATCCATGTTCTATTTTCAGGGGGGCATAATCCTGGTTCTTCTGGCCTACTTGGCATGCAAGTCAACACTTGTGTAATATGCTTCTCCACCTTGTGTTACAGGTGCAAATTCGAGGCAACTTGGAAAAATATTCGAGATTATGAATATCAGGTCCTCGGATTTTATGTTCCTGTTGCCCAAAAGGCAGACATGTTTGGAGAGCTTATTAGATAGCGGCTTATATTTGCATTGCTGAGTAGTTCTCTGAGAATTAGTAATGACTTTATAAGGGTTAGCAAACACCAAAATGCAATAAATTTGCAAGCAGATAAATATTTGTCCTTTCTGCTTCCCTATGACATTCCGACTTCAGTTTCTAGGCTGTTGAATGTGGTCTTTTATTATATATTTAATCTGCCAGCCCCATTAATAAGCTGTCAATAAAATGTATAAAATAACAATATGAACAGAAAATTGTGTGCTTCTCATATTTCTCATACATTTTTCTTGGGATGGCAATAATTTCCTTTTGTTCACATCCTTAAGTATGTATGTGTTAACAGATGATAGCAGAAATGGTCAATTTACAAGACGTTTTAAAATATCCTCCCATGCTGCATATTATAGAGATCAGATGCCAATTAAAAATGGGTGTATTGAAATTCCAAATGTAAAATGATATTTGTACATCTCAACTACAAAGCATGGGATATATTATATTATATATTATATTGTTGAAGGAGACTATTGACATTTACAATCTCAACAAGGAATGATGTACTTACTTCAGAAAGTGGATATTATTATCGATGATTGACTATACTAATATTTATTTACTTTTTTGATGATCAGAGGTGGATCAGAATGGACCTGTTTTTTCATTTTTTTTTTTTTTTACCAAACTTTTCAACTTGTTCCAAATGCATTTTTGAACAACATGATGGGTCTGCATTAATTACTAATAGGTCTATTATTCTAGTTAGAAATAATAGCAGTATTGTACTAGAAATCGTGCCAATATATTTTGACTGGTGAGCAATACAGACCAGGGGTGAGTTTCCCGAAGCCTTCTTAACACTACAGTACGTCGTTCGTTAGTTATATCTTTTAACACAGAACTTAAGAACGACGTAGCTTTAAGAACCCTTCGGGAAACTCACCCCAGTTCAGTTGGTCTAAAAACTCATTTTAAACAAACTGATGCCGAACGGGAGTCAGACTTTTTTTTTTTTTAACTTTTCTAATATTTGGAAGTTCATAACAATCTTGTTTTTACTGGAGTTAGTATACAGCACAGATTAATCTTACCATACTAGTAAAAATAAGGCTGTCATTCACAGACAACTACAATGAAATTTCCATCACTCAACATACACTGTGCCAGATAAAGAATAAGACTTATTGTTTTTCTCCATTCAGATATTTTTGCTATTTTTCAATGCCTGCCCTCACAACTATTAATCACACAACTATTAATCACACAACTATTAATCATTTCTATTGTCATTTTTGTATTTAGCATCTTTTTAACATTTCGTTTTTAATGGGAAACAAGCACTTTATAAAGGTCTGTTTTGCAAGTAAAAAGACATTTTCCCTGTTACCAAGTATGAAGCATTTAACAGTGAAATTAAATTATTCTTGTATTATTTCATCTTCCCGATTGCTGTGTGCTGCAGATGCTCACTATTAAAATAACAAAAAGCATGCAGGTCTGACACAGCTAATGTCAGGAAATGTGTGATCTCAACTGCGGAAGCGCCTATGCTAAACCAAACTATCACTTTATAGGCCTAATAAAGTCTAGCGAGTGTTTGACATCTTGAAGCGCTGATGTAAGTGTAGATGCGGTTTAAATGCTGCCATTCTGTTTGTTCTTCACTTGTGGTCTATGCCACGTAAATTGTGTGAGAGATTGAGCTGATCATATGCGCTGCAATTCATGATGACACACAAACCCTGACTCACCTTTTGTTGTTTCCAAATCAGAAGATAAGTTTGTACGTAGTGGAATCTTTATCTTTTTATATTTGTGTTTAATATATCAAGGAGTACCTCGTCTTACTTTTATATAAGACTGATGAGATTACATATGCACACATCCACGTGAAACAGAGAGAGTCATGTCAATGGCAGGTGCGGTTCCTGTGGGGGTTAATGTTGTATATTTTTCTTTTTGTCTCATGAATCACGGTTCTTTCCTTTTTTTTATTAGTATTGGTAATATGTTAAAATTTCCAGGTGATATTGATTTGGTTACTGTATTTCTGAGCTCTGTATTTGCAAGCACTGTAAAAGCGATTCTCATCTGATTTCCTCCTCTGTACATTTAGTACTCTGATGTTGCTATTAATAAAATATAAAAGTACACGGGCTGTCTTTCTAAAAACAAATGTGTTGAAAGGTTTGTTAAAAAATCCTCAGTGAATAAATAATGATCTGGACAAATAAAGAAGTGAAAAAATGAAACCCGCAACTGAGATTATATCTAAAAAGTAAGTTGCAGGCACTTCTGCTACCCTTTCACTTATGCAGAGTGTTTATTCGAAGTTTCAGTAAGTATTTGGCAGTGATATGTGACAATGAGAGCCTAATGTGTCAAGAAAAATGTTGCAGTTTGTGCCTTGTGCGGGACGACGCCAAATCAATGGATGTGTCCTTCAGGCCATTGGTGAAGTATCCTTTGTGTACAGTGTGAAAATATTAGCATCTTCGTACAGTACGGTCCTTCTCATTTGCATTTGCAGTCATGCGTGGGTGGATGCGTGAACCACCAGGGCAGACTAACAGGAAACCACTCGTATTTTCTTTTCATCTTCCTTATTATTGTCCTAAATGCCAGAATCATGCCTCGATTTATCATGACACCAGGACATGCTCTACAGTTCTCTCACCTTCTCCATCCGGTTAAGAAGTACAATGTAGAGCAGAAAAAAACAAGAGACAAAGGCAATTGAAAAGAGAAAAAAAGCTACGTCTCGCAGTAATAACTGGTGACACCAAAACAATGAAATCTATTTATCATATAGGTGCTGGTTTGTTTTAACTTGTCGGGGTTACACCTAAAAATGTACAGTTCTTAACTTAAGTCTTTTATGGCTTACTTTGTCCATCGAAGTACAACTCTCCTGAAAAATGAAAGGTATGTTATCATTTCCTGAACTGTTACACTTGCTTTACCTGTATTACCAGTCTTGAAGAGGATGTCAGCTTCAGATAACAGATTCAGGGCCTTTCCTGAGAGTCCTTGGTCTGGAACCTGAAAAAAGGGGGCTTTTAGTTAACAGTCTGTAGCGTTAATCATCATCTTACCTGCTGTCTTTTTAGATTGATTTTAGCTGCTTAGTTATTAACCAAGTGCTTAGAAAAACTTGTCAATAAAGAAATCCTCAGTGAAACTCTTTCTAAGGCGCTGGCAGCTGTTAATGATACGCATTAATTTAATCACAGAGAAATATCAATACTCAGTGCCACAGCTTCTGATTTTGTATTGCAGATGTCGACTAAGTTTCACCAAAGGTAACTTTTAAAGCTTGTAAATAATAATAATTTTTAAAAGCATCAAACATAGATGTTGCTAATGAGGACACTGGCACCAAGTTCCTTTAATTAGGATTAACAAGAATTCTAGGGAATGTTTATGGATGTTTGGAGAAGTGTGATATAAGGTAATCAGGCCAGAACAGATGAATGCAGCACTTAAAAAAAAACAAATTAGATCACTGAATTAACAAAAACGCACCAGCCTTCAGAGCATCGTTAAAAGACTGTCCCAAGACAGCAAACAATATGGATTTACAATCATTGTTTGTTTCACAAATTACGGCAAACCCATTAAATAGTCAGAATGCAGAGGGTGCTGAAGGGTAGACACCTGTGAATCTGAAAGCACATTATATTTTCCGCAGTTGTTTTTCACTTTCATTTGTTGCAAACTCAATGTTATTGTGCTCATTATCTGACTATCAAGCTGCCAAAAGCAAACATATACGGTCATATATACAGTTTCAGAAAGAAATTGCAAATGTACTTTTCTTGAACCGATCTACGAAACTCTTAATTTCTGCAAATGGAAATAGTCCAAATTTGCATAATGAGAACATGGCACTCATTAATGATTGAATGGCGCTCTGTTAATTAATTATTGATTGGTAACATTTTGTGCATGATGCATCATAGAAAAACACGTAGTAGATACTGATGACTATGTGACAGATTTCAGTTTTATCTCTGAATACTGTTTTCTTTAAGTAACTACATGGAAACCTGTGGGACCACCATGGTCTCCACCTTGGCTCCATACGTGTGGAGTTTCATGTTAAGTATAATTAAAAGCAGTCAGTGGTTTTGTGGCACGGTGGTGCAGTAGTAAGCACTGACCCTTGTATCTCTAGGACCAGCCTTGAAGTCTTTGCCGAAGCCTTATACTGTATGTTTGTTCCACATTGTTGTGGGATTTACCTCTCAGTTCTCTGTTTTCCCCGCACAGTCCAAAAACACGCTAAGGTGAGTTGGAGGTGCCAGACTGTCAGCGTG